GCAGCAGATGTACAGGGAGTACAATGAATTTACGCTCGCACACAGTTGTGCATTTGCATGCAAACATATCCGAAAGTCAATGCTGCTCTATGCGAGAAATAAAAAAAAATATAACGACGAAACACAGTTAAAACGACAAATCGAAAATGGAAAGAAGAAACCAAAAAGGAAAAAGAAACGTTCGAAAGTTTTATTTTATCTGCATGCTTTTAATTCTCATTTGTTTACGATCTAACCGAACGTAAATGAATTGTTAGTTACACAATTCTGATTGTAGTATATACAATACATGGCATCGGTATTTTAGAAAGAAGAAAAAGAAAATAGCATCATTTCATTGGCAAAAAATTGCGTTCGTAATAACTGCGAGTGCATTGAATGAATTGCATTTGAAAATTCATGGGAATGTGTTTTGCAAAAGAAATTCGAATCGGTTGAGAACAACAAATTGAACCGAAGAATTAAAAGTCATCAAATGTAAAAAGGATCTGAGTTCTTTTCCTATTACACTTATTTATTTCGGTTTTTATTTACTTTTTGTTGTGATGTGATCGAATATCGTTTTTCTTAGAACAATTTTCCGCTTCACCATTCCATTCCATTCAAAAATTTGTTTTTACTATAATCTTTCGTTCGCAATTTGTTTGCTTTTATTTTATAAAAATATTGCGATGATTTTTTTTATTTTGCAACGTTGATGTCTACGAAATTTTGTCTCAATATGTTTTTATTTTGCAGTACAATAACAAACTTCAAGCAATATGTTTGCCATGATACATTTACATTCTTCAAAAATGAAAAGAATAATATGCATAAATCTGATGATGATGATGGAGACGGAGTAGGGATGGATCGAAGTGTACACAGGTAAGTACAGGAAAGTAAAAGAGCAATGTGTAAGATAGTATTTTGTAACGCTTAATTTTTCATTTATTCCTTTGCACTTGACGAGAGTAAACCACCGATGAATTGGCGCAACGCAAACGCACGACCATTGAGAAGCAACAAAACAACAACAAACGAGAGAGTTAAAGCAAAGCAAAGAATTACATGAACAAACATTGAAAAACTGAAATGAACAAAATGTAAATATTGGAGCCTTTGTGGAATATATTGTTGCGAAGGTAATAGCTCAATGCAATTTTCGTATAGAGTGCCAAAGGGGTCGATGCGAACAGAAATGTGCATTGGGACCGTTTTTTTGAGTGAGCGTGCTCCTTTACAAACTGCACACTATTTTTGTGACGCATGCATATAATGTGTACAAAGTAAGCGTAATTGCATGAGCAACGGCAATATCGAGAAGCTATGCATGCTCGCTATGGCTAAGGTGAAATAGAGAAAACCAGAGAAAGAATGAGAGAAAGAGAAAATAAACTTTCTACCGCACAATGCAATGAGGAAAAAAGTAACTAATATACGGACACAATTTCATCGTTTTTTTTTCTTGCTCGTGTTTTCGGCAACAAGAAGAGCGCAACATCAGCAACAACGAAAAAAAATTGTGCACAAGAAGTGAAAAAAAGCGAATACATTTTTTTTTCTTGTGAAGCGACCGATAGGACGTTGTTGTGTTTCATCACATACACTTTCTTTTAGATTTTATGTAAAAGTTTGCAATCAATTTTCTTCTCTTCTTGCTTCTGCTTTTGTTCCTTTGCGAGGTCGGTGTTCCTCTCTCTTTCTCTCTTACACAATCTGCATTTAAATTTGGATAGTGACGCAAAGCAAATTGTAATCGTCTATAGTAAAAAAAAGCAAGTTAAAAGTTTTCTTATGTTGTCGCTCTCTTTTCTGCATTGGCTTTTTGGATCGGCGTACGTTGTTAACTTTTTATCGCTTGTTAGCTCTCTGCCTCTCAAAATTTCAATCATCGACTGATTGCTTGAGCAAAAAACATTTTTCTACTCTCTCTCCACCTTCCTCATTCAATATTCATAGAATGAAGGAAAAAACGAAATTTTGCTCTGCTCTTGTGTCTGAATTTACGTTGACATATTTTACATTCTATTTTGTTTTCTTTTTTTTACATTTTTTCTTTTTGCTCAAAATCACTTTGTTCCAGTGTTTAACATGCAGACACAATCGATTCAGAGCGATAAAAAAAATTCGAATGTACGCAAATTCAAACAAATTTCATTTTTACCTTTGTATTTATACGCCATTGATTTACAGTATAAAGGCCGATTTATTTGTGAATGAGTGTGTGCCGCGAAATTGAAATAGAAGCCGAAAGAAGAAGAACAACATAAAAAAAAACACACACACACACAGGCGACATACGATCAGTCGGCCATGAGGCTCGAACTTTTCAGACAATGCTAATGTATTACATGGAATTCTGTTGTTCCAGAGAATGAATATCAAGCACCACTAAACATTCCTGAAAAATAGTCGAAGCCAAAACAATCAGTTAAAAAGAGGAGCTAAGATTTTTGCTTAGTGCCCATGCGATTTAAATGATTTCATATGAATGCTTCTTTTGCACGCAACTTTTTTCGTTTCTCTTTCTCCCTCTCCCTCTCCCTCTCTCTCTTACGAGAATTGTTCTTTTTTACATTCTGTTTGCATTTCGTACTACGATTTCGTTGATCGTCGCTAATTTTTCGCATTTATCATACGTATACGAGTATGTGTTTTACTTCTTTTTGTGTTTTTGTTATTTTGTGAGAGATTAAAATCGTTTCAGAAAATATGTTCATTTTTATTATCTTTTTTTAAATATTAGCTCCAATGAATGCAAACGAAACGATTGTCTCGGAATTTTTTAGGTAGTTTCTCGGTGTCTGTTTTATTTCGCTTTTAATTTATGAATTTTGATATTTCAGTTGAAGTATGGGATGTGTTTTGGGAGTGTGTCACACAAACCTTGTTGATGTGAATTATGTGTTTTTCGCGAATGCAATGTTTTTTTTCTTGAGAGATCCGTGAGTTTTATTGAGCCATTTTTAATGCGAGACATCATTCATCACCAAGAATCACATGCTGTGGCTAATTTATAAGGATATTTTCAAGAACAAGGCAATTCTATATAAATAATCTCACTCTCTGTCTCGGTATGAATATATTTTTTTTATTATGTTGTTGCTGTGAATGGATACAACACAGTAAAATTCATCCTAGTGGCTCGCTTTAATTTGGCACAGTTCGTAAGAAAGGGATAGAGAGAGAGAGGGAGATTAAAGGCAGAGTAATTTGATCGTTGCAATTCAAATCACTTTACACAAATAATTTTATGGTTATATGCCAACGGCGCGTGAGGTTCGGCAGGCAGCCAACGTAATATACTTGTGTTTGTCTAAAGGATAAGCAATAATGATAAGATGTATGATGTCTGGAATTTGGCGAACACACAAAATCTATCCATAAGGTGCATATAATTTCCAAGAAATTCGTTTCAAAATTGCTAGCATCGAAGAAATTACCATCATCATTTAATTTTTGCTCCTTTTTTCGTGTTTTTTCTTTCATGCTTGTGTGTTTGATGTTTTTATGTATGTGTGGTGTGTGTATTGAGGAATCCAATAACCGGTTTTTATCTAAAATGTTCGAGATGCACACGCAGAGATGCAACCACTTTGAATTGACTACTGAGAGGTGAAGTGTGCAGAATGAGCGAAAATTCAGTACAAAATGAAGATGAACCGGGAAATGTAATGGTGTTTAGTGCAAAGAAGCCCGAAAGACAAAAAACAACTCCGAGAATAAAGAACTTGATGCAAAATCCCAAGCACTTCGTTCAGAATCTTACGTTTTGCATTTAACTATTACATCCAATTTCATTTGACATTTTATCATTATTATTTCTCTCTCTCTCACTCTCTCTCTCTCTCTCTCTCTCTCTCTCTCTCTCTCTCTCTCTCTC